TTCTACTCATTGTTCCAAGCCCAGTTCAAATCCTGGCTCTTCCTTAAAGCTTCCCTTGGCCTGTGAGCTCTTTTCTGAACTCCAGGGTTTATAGTCAATAATAGAGACTGTGTTATAAGTCACTGTAAATGAGTAGTTGGCAATCAAAATATTGGAACATTTGTTTTTCAAATAAATTTTAAAACTTACAGATACTGTTATGTTTATGATTTTTGAAAGTTAGAAAGAATTCAAAACTATCCCAATGCATTATTCTGCTTTCAGGCTCAGAGAAAAGGTGTTCCAACTTATCATGAAGAAGCATTACTAACATAACACCGCCCCCGCCCCGCCCCCAACCAAACCCTCTGCTGTCAAGTCAATTCCAAGGCATAGCAAACCTATGGGGCTAAGGCGAATGGCTCCACAGGGTCTCCGAGGCAGTACGTTGGTAAAGAAGCAAATGGCCTCTTCTTTTTCCCATGGAGTGGCTAATTGGTTCAGACCACTGACCCTTTTGTTAGTCCAGTGCTTAACACACTGCACCACCAGGGTGCTTACTCTTAGTAGATACTGCTGTTTTGATCGATTATAGCTTTTATTTCCCACAAAAATTGTGTAGGTGTGTGACACCAGCTGGGGAGAGATTAGGACTCTATCATGCAGGTGTGCATCACCTGTTACTCCAGTCAAGCCTGATAACTATTGAATGGCTGATAAGCTTTTCCACATGGCTTAGCGCTATTTTCACATTGTTGGTATGCATGACAAATCCTAAATTCCTCAAGTGTAAGTACCGTGGGTTATAATTCTTTATCTTGAGTTGTCTAAATAACAATCTAACTCATAATAGATACACAATTCATTCTCAGTGATCAATGGCTGTTCTTTAAAAAAGAAATCACCAAGGATATATGTTAATGACTTAGTCCAACATCCTTCAACTTGTTGAGACTTAATTTTTAAGAGCTTTTCGTATATGGAGGGGCTTTGAAAAGTCTGTGGACAAATGAGATTTAAAGATAATAGGATAGTTCCATGAACTTTAACCTTCCCTCGGCCCGTATGTCTGTCAATAGATCCATAATGTTGTATTCAGAATAGGCCTCCGATGGTCATTTAAGAGATGTTTAATGATGTAGTGTAGTGTGAAGTATGACTCTTGTCCTGAAAATGAGTTAAATTATTATTGAAATTAAAAACATACTTACTATGAAAGTTAGGACAGTTTCTCTCTTGGCCGGCTTCAAGTCATCATTCAATGAGTAAGCTCTAACCTTTACTGTAAGGGTAATTGACATCATTAAAAATTCCTCTGCGAACCACAAGCATCTTTTCAATTTTTAAAACAATCATTAAAAGAGCTGTGCCCCATTTAAATAAAAAACATAACACAAAAAAAACCATGCTTAAAAGAAAGAAAAATGTGGCTTGTTACCAATACATGACACAAGATTCTTTTCTCTTAATCTTTTAGGTCCTTTAAAATATGTTCTTTTAGTATATTTAAAGTA